CCGGGGGGGGGGGGGGCGAGGGGGGGCCGGGAGCCGCCACTGCACTCCAGTCTGGACGACAGAGTGAGACTCCAACTAAAAAAAATAATAATAATAATCTACAAAATATGCATTTAACCAAAGTATAACTTCTGTGGTAGGCATCCTCTAAAATGGCCCTCAAGGATCCCTGCCTCCTGATACTTACTGCCTTGTGTAATATCCTCCCCTTGAGTAACTTGCATCAAACCATTGAATATGGCAACAGAGATGTTACTTCTGTGATTAAGTTACAGAAAACTGTGACCTGTCTTGCTAGCACACTATTGCTTTCTTGGTTTGCAAACCATTGATGAAGCAAGCTGCCATGTTGGAAGGGTCCAAGTGGCAAGGAATTGAAGGTGGCTTCCAGTCAGCAGCCTGAGAGTTACTGAATGTTACCAATAGAGCTCATAGACCCTGGACTGACACCTGACACCTTGATTGAGAGACTGTGATGCAGGAGACCGAGCTAAACTGTACTGATTCTTGATCTACAGAAATGGTTGAGATAATAAACATATATTGCCTTAAACCACTGTAATTTTAGGATCTTTTTTTTTAATGCAGCAGTACATAACTTCTTTATGGAAATAATGAATTTTTGGGAGAAGAGGGTAGAACACCTATGGTGAGTAAGAACTGAACCCTAGGAGGGCTGAGGACTCAAGCTGGGGCCAGGACCAGAGTGGCCCTGAATCTAGGAGATCTTGGATTTCTAAGCTGAGGGTCTCACTAGCATAGAAAACAAAAATAATACATTTTTGATAAATTAATAAATCATCATACAAACTAGTGTAAAATAGAAGATATAATCTAAATTGGCATCAACAGGCCAGGTATGGTGGCTCATGCCTATAGTCCCAGCACTTTGGGAGGCCAAGGTGGGGGGATCACTTGAGGCCAGGAGTTTGAGAGCAGCCTGGGCAACACAGGGAGACCCTGTCTCCTAAAAAAAAAAAGAAAAAAAAAAATTAGCTGAGCATGGTGTGTATGTCTATAGTCCCAGCTACTCAGGAAGCTGAGGTAGGAGGATTACTTGAGTCCAAGAATTTGAGGTTACAGTGAACTGTGATCATGCTGCTGCTCTCCAGCTTGGGGGACAGAGCAAGACCCAAGCTCTCAAAAGAAAACCCCAAAAAGCTAAATATTTGAAGTCATGTACATATAAAGTTGCCCCTACATATCCATGGGTTCCACATCTGCAAATTCAGTCAACTGTGGTTTGTGGTAAAAATTACAATATTTTCAGGCCGGGCTTGGTGGCTCAGCCTGTAATCCCGCACTTTGGGAGGCCGAGGTGAGTGGACTCCCTGAACCCGCGGGTTCAAGACCCACCTGGGTAACTTGGTGAGACCTCACCTCTACAATAAATCAAAAAATTAGCCGGGCATGGTAGCGCACGCCTGTAATTCCAGCTACTTGGAAGGCTGAGGCGGAAGGATTGCCGGAGCCCAGCAGGTCGAGGCTGCGGTGGCCGGGAGTGGCCACTGCACTCCAGTCTGGGCAACAGAGTGAGACTCCAACTCAAAAAAAAAAATACAATACTTTCACTGTGGATTTTGGGATCTGTGGGGGTGCTGAAAATCATGCCCTTGGATATTGAGGGATAACTGTATGTCATAAACACATCTGTGTCAAAACCACTTAAGGATCCTAACTAGGTGGTTTTCAGTCAGGGGATCTTTCAGGGAAGTGGTGACTCCAAGGTACAGCTGAATATGTGAGAGAATGTGTGATGTGTCCCTCACAATTTATTTAGGTCCAAAGGTGATGTACAACAAACACAATCCCACATGAAACTCTCAGGACAGAGGCCAAGTCCCCTCTGTCAGACTGGCAGGATCCTGAGAGACTTTGCCCCCATCTGATTGCCAGACATAGGAATCTGAGATCCTCCTCCTTCCTGGTATCTTCCCCTATAACCACTCCCCTGCTCCCAGTCCAGGACCCTGCTCAAAAGGAAAGTTCAGGTGGTGTGGAAAAGAGGCCACCAGACAACAGGAAGAAGAAAAACACATACTCAAGAAATTGAATTCTCTGCCCCAGTTTATTCACCGGTCAGTACAAAGGCCAGGTTCACACTCAACATGCAAGAGCTACAGACACAAAGTCCCCAGGACCCACGCCTTACCCTCACCCCCTATACCTTTTACCCACCCACCTGGAAGGGATGAAACTCTTTACAGATAGACAGGAAGAGATCTCACATTTTGCATTCAGGGAGAATGAGGGCCAGAGGCAGCATCAATGACTTCCATACCACTGTTCACCTGCCAGTTCTTCCTCTCTAAGTATATCATTGCTCACCCACCAGGATCTTCAATTCTCTTGGCTTCCAGGAGCAAAGCAGAGGTGTAGCTACCTTAGTCATTGGTTCTCCCTGAGACTCACCCTCTCTTCAACTCATGGAACCTGTCAATCCCTGTTTAAAGGGCCATGAAGTGAAAGAAGGGAGTAGGACCCAGCACTCTAGGAACTTCCTGAGGCTAGGTTGATACTGCCCCATTCCCACCCCGCACAGCTAAGCTCTGGCTCCTCCTGACAGTCTGATTTCAGATAAATGAACCAAACCAATTTGACATCCAATGTTGCTAAAGCCAGAGAGTTATTGTGAGGGAAGTGAGATTTTTCCCTTGGAACATCTCATATGTTACTCGCAAGCTTATAAGCATACATTCCATTTCAGAAGCTTAAATCAATATAGTCTGCAAAGCTTCTTTCCCAATGGAGAAGTATGCTTTGTTTGGAAACAGGTTTTATTATTTACTTTATTTTTTGTGTCAAGGTCTCACTCTCTTGCCCAGGTTGGAGTGCAGTGGCATGAACATGGCTCACTGCAGCTTCAATGTCCTAGGCTCAGGCAATCCTTTCACCTCTGCCTCCTGAGTAGATGGGACTACAGACATGCCCAGGCTAATTTAAAAAAATTTTTTGTAGAGATGAGGTCTCACTATGTTGTCTAGGCTAGTCTTGAACTCCTGGGCTCAAGCAATCCTCCCACCTTGGCCTCTCAAAGTGCTGGGATTATAGGCGTGAGCCACCGTGCTGGCCAGAAACAAGCATTTCAAAATGGCGAAAGATTTATACGATATAAAGAGAAACCAGAGTGTAAAGGAAACGGGTCTTTTAGAATTCCCACTCTCCTGTTCTTTACAGGGTTCTACCATTGTCGTTGCCCCCAGCCCCATCACCCATGTGCCCAAAAGCAGAGTTCAAGAGAGACAGTCTATCTCCTTCTCTGTCCCCACCCCCACCATCATCTCCATCACCACTCCCAGTGACCCTCTCTGACATCAATTCTCCACCAACTGCCCTGACAAAATTGCAGCAAAAATACCATGGCAGGGCAGAGCCACCCACTAAACCTCTTACAGCAAAGCCAACGTTAGGGACAACAGCTTTAGCAGACCAAAGTCTGAGTTAGGTGAGGAAAAGGATGAGGAGAGGTGGCCTGGGAAATGTCAGGAAAATGGATAAGCACAACCCTCAGATAAATGACAGCATACCACACGAGCCTTCTCTTTCCAGGGAGCAGTAGGAGCCAGTGGAGAAAAAAGACTGGGTAGGCCATGGGTAACACAGGGCATGAGTAGATGCCCCACAGGTGCAACTGGATACATATTTGTCTGCCTGCAAATACATATGCTCCTAACATACGTCTCGCATGCCTGCACCTGCACACATGCACCCCTACACATAGGCCTGCACACACAAGGACTCACTCACATATACCAACATAAGCTTGCACACTCAGATTCACTCATAGACACATACATCTTTTGCGTACACATCCTCACTCAAACACATATACACACACTGCTGAGTACCTGTCCACACATGTATATATAAATTCACTCACTCACACAGGTATGTTCACTCTCACACACTCACATGTAGTTCCACATACGTTAGCATGTGTGTGCACATGTGCACACTTAAGCTCATTTACATATCTTATACACACCTGCCTACATGTTAGCACATACACACTTACTTATGCTTACCTGCACTCATAACAGCAAATAATCACGTACTTACTTGTACACCACCTCGCACATGCCTGCAGATATACACACATACCCTTGCACACCTGTGGAGGCAAGTTCTTAACCCTGGTCCTGGGGCCTGGATGGTGCTGCCCTCTGCTGGAGACAGCGGATAAGCTCTTTCCGGTTGTCTAGGATGGTGTCGAAGCTTTCCTGCAGCCGGGCCTGCTGATCTACCAACTGGTGCTGCAGGCCGCGGATCCACTGGAGCAGTGCCAGGCGACGGTACATCACCAAGTGCACATGGTGCTTCTCCTTCTCCCGCTCCTTGTAGCGCTCCTGAGCCTGCAGCTGCTGCACAGCCTGGGCCACCGAGGGCAGAAGGGGGTCGGGAGGCCCAGGACCTCGAGGAGTCCCAAAGACAGGCTCAGGACTGCTGCTAGGACTGTCGATGCTCAGGGAACTGCTAGCATAGCCATTGTCCTCCAGAGGGGAGCAGACTGTGCCAGCATCACACATCTTCTCAGGCTCAGCCCCAGGAATCTCTGCCCCCTCTGGGGGGCTGCGGACCCCTCCCTCAGGGAGTCCAGGGGCCTGGAAGGCCTGGTTGTCAGAGGGCAACTCAGAGGAGCTCCTCATCAGGATAGGTTCCACTTTGCTTGGCATTCCATGCCAATTCTCATTGGCATCCTTGGCACTTGCCATGAAGTTGGAGTTGCTGTCTGGTTGGAGCTCAGGTTGACATACTCCAAGAGGTGGGCCTCCCAGGAGCTGGCCCCCCTCAGCTAGTCCTGGCTGGATGGCGAACATCTGGTCTGTAAAAGGGGAAGCAGAAAAATGAGTCACAGAGGACAGGGTGAGGTACCTGAGGTTGGGCCAACCTAGCTGCAGGGACAAGGCTGCAAGAGCCTGGCTGCTCCCTGTCAGTTTGGGAGCAGTCCTTCCCCTTGACTCTGGTGACATGTCCCTTCATGGTTTTTCTCCTCCCTGTGTGTCTGTTCATTCTCGGTCTCTCAGCTTGGGGTTTTTCAGAGGCAGGCTGTCTTCTCATTATGTACATTTCTCTCCAGATGCCCTCATTATCTCCTGTAGCTTCAAGAAGCATCATATGTTCGTGACTCTCAGATCTGCCTTCAGCCCAGACCCAACTGCTATCAAACCCAGCAATCAATCATAGGTTCCTCAAATTCTACATGTCCAAATCAGCCCTCCTTCTTCAGTGTCCTCTGCAAAATGGCTCTGCTCTCCATTCAGTCACTCAAGTCAGAAGGCTGGGAGCATCCTGTACTCCTCACTCTCCTTCATTCCTTCATCTCATTGGTCATCAAATTCTGACAATTGTTCCTCTTCACTTACTCTGGATTCAGGCTATTTCTGACCTGGATTATTGCCACAGCCTTTTCACTAACCTCTCTGCCTCCAGTTAAAAATGTAAATCTGATCTGTCCCAGCTCCGAGTGCCCTCTCTAAACTCCTGCTGAACTACAAGGCCCTGATTGATCTGGCTCCTGCTCATCCCTCCATACTTGCCTCATGTCACTCTGCCATCACACCAAACTGCTCAGAGGTCTCAAGACACACCATTGTCTCCTTACACTATTCCTGTGGCCTACAATATCCTTCCTCTCCCCTCCCCTGGAAGCTCCTCCCTTCTCCACCCAGCAAATTCTTTTTTTGAAACTCAGTTCTAATATCCCCACCTCTCTGAAGCCTTCCTGATATTCTCCTCACCAGCCAATATTACACAGTTCATTATGACTTCCTCTGAGTTCGCACTGTCTTGGTTACAGTCTGTGTCCTGTCCCTGATGCACACACTTGGTGGTCAGTAAATATCTATTCAGCTGGCATGTTTGTTGCAGTGTAATCTGGCTCCCTGCCTAAATTTGGAATCTTCTATATATCCTCCATCCTATTTCCAGGGGCCAGCATAGAGCCAGGTACATGCTGAGTCAGTGAACAGAGAGGGAACTGCAGTGGATTTCTTTTCTTTTCTTTTTGAGTTGGAGTCTCACTCTGTTGCCCAGACTGGAGTGCAATGGCCGCTCCCGGCCACTGCAGCCTCGACCTGCTGGGCTCCTGCGATCCTTCCGCCTCAGCCTTCCAAGTAGCCGGAATTACAGGCATGCACTACCACACCCGGCTGATTTTTTGATTTATTGCAGAGATGCGGTCTCACTGCCCAGGTGGGTCTCGAACCCGCAGGCTCAGGCAATCCACTCACCTCAGCCTCCCAAAGGCGCGGGATTACAGGCTGAGCCACCGAGCCCGGTTCTTTTCTTTTTTTTAAGTCATGTTTGACTTGTGCAATTACAAGAGGTGCTCTGCAGTGGATTTCAATGCTCAAGCAGACAGAGTCAGTGGTAGCAGGAGCTGACTGCCCAAGGCTGGAAGAGCTGGGTTCAGTTCCTTTCCCCACCTTAGGGGGCCCTTCTCTTCCATGGACCAGCTTCTCTTCTGAGCTTGCCTCCTTGCCTCCCAGTGTCCCTGACCCTAGCTAGCTCCATCCTGAGGCCCTACTCTCTCTTCCCCAATAACCGGCTGCCACCAAAAGTAGGATCTGAATGAACAAGAGTTTTCTGCTGACCACACATTACTAGGACTAGAAAAATTGAAGATCATGAAGAGGAGGGATACTCTAAGTGGAACAGGCAGTAGGAAGACCTCCCTAGGTGGCAGGGACAAGACTCACATGCAGTGGTGGGGAGAAGTCTTCGAGAGAATGGTGTAGGAGCAATGTCTCTGTAACCTGCATACTCCATCCCTCTAAGCAAGGACTGTGGGAAGGTGCCTGGAGATCTCCCCTAATCCCAATATTTTCTTTTTTCCTAAACTTGGGCGGGGCTGTGAAGGAAGCGAAGATAAGATGGAGGTGGGGCTAAAGATGACTAGGTTCTCAGAGATGGTAAAATGGGTACTCACACACCCCAGGATCAGACTCCCTCCAAATTAATCTGCAATTTGCCAGGGTGGGTGGGGTAGCTGTGGAAGATGGGGGGAGGCGGTCTCCTTTCCTGGTGTTGCAGGAAAGAGACAACCCACAGGAGACAGAGGACAGAGGACAGAGACCATCCTTGCCTAACCTCCGCGAAGGAGGCGGCCAGGCGAAGGCTTTGCTCCCGCAGCCCGCGACTGGGCCCCGAATCCTCCCCCTCCGGCCCCGCACTCACGGCCTAGGGGCGCCCGCTCCGGCGCAGCTGGCTCTGGTTCCACCTGGCCCGGCTTGTGGCTGTCACTCTGGGCTGGGAAGGGAGGGGCCCTTGGCCTGGGCGTCTCTGCGGTGCGGGAGCGGGTGAGGGGCTCCTCCTGGGCTGAGCGCCCAGCCCCAGGCCCGGACTGCGGAGTCAGGCGGCGTCTGCGCGGCGGGGCGGGGCGGCCTGGCCCACGTGGGCCGGTTCGGTTTTCCGCCCGCCGCGCGCCGG